CGATGATTCTCCTTCTTTCCCTGTCTGTTCTCTTTCCGTTGTTCTAATATATCTCTCTCCTGTCTCTCTTCTATCTCTCTCCTATATATATGTGTGTTATGTATGAAGTTGTTACACTCTGAATATGTGAAGAAGCGAATAAACATCATTGCCGAGAGTGGCGGTAAGCTACTCCACCTCTATTCAGTTTGTCATTACGTATCAAGCCACTCAGGGCCCTATTGATCGTTACACTAAAGTCTTCAATAATAAGTAATATCATTAAATACAAGAAAAATAGAAATATCTTGATTTATTGTTTTAATTACACGTTTGTCACCGGAAACAAATTCTAAAAACAATACGAACTTTTGGGATTTTCTTACCATTAATACAACATACAGTGAATACTACAGTAAAAAACAAAATAGAACAATGAAAAGTACTAAGTAAAAAAAATAATACAAAGAAAAAGAAAATACACGAAACAGAACTGGGCACATGACAATGTTTTCTGTTCTATCCTATCCTGTGCCCACGTCTGTTTTGGAGTGAGAACTGATTCTCAATTGAGTGAATGTAGCCAAAAAAAAGTGAATAGCGAATAAGCAGATGCACATCCAAAACTAATTTGTCATTTATTGTACTATATTTGTGCCTTTGTACCTAATAAATTAAAAATTATAAGTAGAAGTAATTAAATAAAAATAGAGAATTATATAAATATCTTATTTATTTTGCTCTTGTCAATCTTAATTACATCTATTCATTTATTTATTTATTTACTATTCATTTGTTCGCTCATTTTTTTGTTCATATTAATTTACAAAACAGTAAAGACACAAAACTATTATAAATTTGTTTTCTTTTTGTTCTATCCCATTTGTGTTCATCCATAATTGTCTATTTGCGTTGATTTATTATTTTTGGGCTTATTCATCCTCATATCTAATGATTGTCAGGTTGAGTAACTGTCGAAGCATGTTGCATAAACACTAAGAATCTTTATTCTCTCAAAATTTGTACTTACAGACATACACCATTTAGTGTTAAATTCTCATGCTGAAAACGAGTACGGAGGAGGTTGAGAACGGCAAAAAGGTGGAATAAGATTTGCTTCAGGACAAAGTTGACATATTCGACCATAATTGTCACCAAATGGTTTATGAATAGCCATAGAATTTACATAATGATGACCTTCGGATGAGAATTTTTGTGCTATTTCAAATGAAGCTACTCTGCCACCAACAAGTGGCATGTATTTTCCAAAGTAAAGATCTTCATATATAGATATACTGTAAGGCTTTTTCTTTATTAATGCAAGTGTTTTCGATCGACTACGAAGTGAAAATCCTCCATTTCCAACAAGTGAACCACCAGTCATATTTATCCATGAATAAGACCATGGTGCTCCAATATAATCCCATTCGAGAAAATCGGAAAATTTATACGGAGAATTTGAGCAAAAAACGGTATCAAGTTGAAAGAAAAGGACTTTTTCTACATTAATTACACGTTCCCAGAATGATTCATTTGTTAACAATCGATTAAGAAAGGAATGACGTTGTCTATTAGCTCCAGTGTATTCTGGTAATTGAGTTAAAATAAGTCGTCCAGTCCTTATGAACTGTGACAAAGATGTCGAATTCATAATGAATTCATAATTGGACGATCCATGAAACAATTGAATACTCCAGTTTGAAGGTATATTATGAAAAACATTTAGAATAATAGCAATAAGATAGTTATTAGAACGAAACTCAATTATTATACCAGCTCCTGAAGACAAATTTGATTCCAATATGACAGGCTTGCTAGTCGTATTAGTTTTAATAACCATAGTAGTTCTATTTGAGTTCAAAACATACATCTGACTGATGAATATCACACAAATGCATATGATAATAAGGACGACAGCTAGTTGCTTCATTACCAATAATAAATATGACGATAGTAATATTATGTTTCCCAAACGTTTTATTACTCCAGCAAATAATCAGATTGTAATACTAGGAGAAAATAAAAATCGATGATTTGAGAAAAATTTGCATAATTTTTTTAGTCGAAACACCCTTCGGATATAGTAATGAAATAGGATAGCTACATTTATTTGCGATTTTGACGGAAATTCAATTGTAGAAAATTAGTGAAAGAAAACAGATAAACATCTAATTTAGACTAAATATCTTAATATCAATAGTAATATAATCAATTATAATGCTTCATTGCTATCAATTTTGGCACTATCAATGTCAAAAAAAAAATATGCAAATCCCTTTTTTTATTCATAAAATTGGATAATAAAATCAACCACAGTAATAATAAGTAGTCTTTTTTTTGTGGTGACGTTTGACGTTTACAATGGCTTCATTAATGTGAAAAGTTATTTGTATACTAGAAAATAGGTATTATGGTTGGAAAAAGTAAAAATCTACTTAAAATTACTAAGATTTTATTATTTTTTCACTTTTTTCGAGTAATGTTAAGTACAGAATATTTCTTTATTTTATAGAAGTAACGTTTCACATCAATAAAGTAAATATCAACGTCACAAAACATTTCAAAAAGGCTCATCGTTTTATTATTTTAGTTGATACTATTAATTGACCTTATTAATAAAAAATGGAGTTGTACCTACTTTTTCTGTATGGACGATGAATAAAACTAGCCCGACGAAAATTTAAATAAGAGACATATTACAGCTAGAGTCATTCTGGGATTAGTTTGACTAATGGGATTTTTTATCTATTTAGGAGGAAGAAAAAGGTCGATGAATGCGGATGAGAAAAAAAGTCACAGAAAATTGACTTTATTCATGCTGTTAGTCACTCAGTAGAAAAAAAGACATCCGAGAATCGACAAGAAGCTTACACAAGTAACAGAACAAACACAATGCACTATTTATGCCAATCAGAAATGCACCTTATATTCAGAAATTTATCCAGATAATTGCGTACCATGACTACTCAATTATTCGTAAAAGATGAACTGTATAGAAACAGTACACTCACAAAAAAAAATCTCCAAAAAACTGTTTGAACGCGTTTTTTACAATGCATTGTATTATAATAGTATATAAAGCATGTTTTCTTGCAGAAATCTGTTTCTAATTGTTCATCATACCCTTATCCTTTTGGCCTTATATTAATACATTGATACTCTTGGACCTATACTTCATTAGATAAATAGATATACATTCATTTCATTGTTGAAGAAACAGAAGATAAGAAAAACGGAGACAATAAGTATAAACGGTCATGTTTATTATCATTATTGCTCGTAAATTATATTTGAAGAGAATGAAAGAAGCTGTATAGGTGGCAATGCATTATTTATTGAATAAATGCTATTTTTATTCGGAACAATTCAACTAACATTCCTCAGCAACCCATATAAAAAGCAATAACTATAAAACACGTTATTTGAGTCGAGTGTTATGAAGGCGATTAAAAATACGAACTATTTTATTCTTTTTAAGTCTAATCTCTTCCAATAAACTGAACACATCATACAAATAATACTCTAATTATGCGTCATTAAAAAAGGCAAAGGGCATCTTGGATCGTTGCACAGAAAATATTTAACTGAGGTGTTACTTCATACAATGGCAACCTCATTAAGAATACGAATGTGATAATTTATTTAGCTTGCCTGTAAAAGAAACTCGTGTTTCAATAAAGAAAAATGCATTTTGACGCATTTGAGTGCATGAAAAATGAATGTGTCCAAACGCATAAAAGAAAATGCGTTGCAAATAAAAATCAATGCGCTCAAATGCAAAAATAGCGTTTTTTTTTTCTGAAAGTTGCCATATAGGGTATGGGATGGAAACACGTGTAGGAGATTGAAGTTCTTCTTTTCATCAACCCATCTTTTTTGCAGTGCATCCTCAAATCTATGAATGGTTTGTGATATCGGCAGAAAATATTAAACGGTTTATAAAAAAATTGCGTATTGTACAATGGTTCATTATATTACGGTTATTTTATGTTGTCATATCCCATTTAAGGTTTTTCATAGAAAATCCATCTATCTAGTCGTCTGAAAGAATGATTTTCTGCCTAATAAAGTATTTTTTTTCTTTCTTGATTAGAGGTCGATTGAATAATTTCTTCATCAAATTGAGACAATCATCGCACATAAACCGAAGTGTTAAGAATAATTGTTGTTGATTGTTATTCATATCTACGTTAATGAGCAAAATCATAGTTCATCGTGTCTGTGAGACGCGGCAGTAAGTGAGGTGTCGGCAACAAAAAATTCCAGTAGGTTTTTTGCTTTAAAACATAGTTCGATAGAGCGTGATCTATTGATGAAGAAAATCCGCTGATAGATTTTATGAATAGCTTTTCAGGTCGTAAGAAAACGTCGTTTTTTTTTTATTTGAACTTTTGCGACTATTATTTTCAAAATGAGTGTCAAAAACAGAGTACAAAAATATTATTAAATCAAGTTTGATCCTAAAACTCTTTTGGTGATGATAATCCAAATTGATTCTATTCATATGCTTACAGATCGTTTTCGTGCACTTACCTAGTTTTTTGTTTTGCATAAATGATGAAGCCAAACAGTTTATCCCATATTATTTACTACACAACTAGTCATAAAATTATGCGCCACATTTTTTTCTTTTCTGTTCTTTATCGAGAATAATTATTTTTACTAGTACCACAGGATAAAGTTGTTATGCATAAAATAGAAGAAAAAGTCACTGACAAAATGCATCAGTAAGTCGATTGTCGCCTGAAAAAGTTTCAAATTCAATGAATTCTTCACGCGATGAAGATTATATGAATATTGGCTATCAAAAATAAAATTTCAATAAACAAGTGCTGTTAACTGACATTTTACAGTTTCACTTAAATATGCAAATCTATGTGTAGCTCAAAATACTTTCGCGTATTGCTGTAAATGTAATTGTGTTATTTCAATATTATATGAGAAAATATGGAGGAATATTTGAAAAATATTCTTTTTTAGTCGGAATAAGTGTTCTTCGTCAATATGTTACTAAGTTTTGTCTGCCTAAGAGGGAGCAATTTAAGGTCCTGGGAGGGTGAACATCTATTGTTGGGAGTAGAGATACATAGTACATGGCACAAGGAGCAGAAGCTCCGAGAGGACCAAGCTGGTCTTCGCGAGGCGCCCTCCATCCCCCCCTTCGGTTAGTCGAAAAGAAAATAACAAAGACTCTACTTCATATAAAAGCAAAATTAATAAAGGAGATAATTTATGTATCGTTAAATCATAGAAATTCATTAACAAAAAAATGTTGACCCCTCCATATCTTATCGTTGAGAAGATTTCGAGAGATCAAGCTGTAAAACAGAGACCTGATCATTTCGAATGAGAGAAAGAATTTTAAATCTGCAAAATCTTACCTATGGTTTCCTGGAAAACTCAGGATTCATCTCGCATTGACATTTAACGAGAAAATTCATTTCGCTTATTTGAAGAATCATGCATATATCTATAAGTTAAAAAAAGACATCTCTACAATGAAGTATATTGAGAATAAAAGTTGTACGCAGTTCGATTATTGATGAGGAAAACACAAAAGTGTAGGTGAAGAAAAAATTCACAGTCATATCTTCAAGTCATTGAAGGTGTCAAAAGTGTGTCTCTAAGATACTCGAGATTTAATTACTTTTGAGAAGGGTTTGTTTATTTTGTAGATCTAACTCGACAAAAAAAAATTTTTACTGATTGCTCAAGATATCATTATTTGTCAACAGAACTTCAAAGATCATTCATAAAACTCTCGAGAATCAAAAAACTCAAGTTAGATGTGGACGTTTTCTGCCGAGAAATATTGAAAAATGGTTCGGAAAGGAGAAGTGATCGTTCTCCATCGCCTTCTCTAAATCTTCTACTGCGAGATGTTTTTTTCATTGACTTGATCAGAAAGCATTAGTCATAGTCACATTATTTATTTTATTTTAGATTATTTAATGAGATGAATTTGATGAATAGTAATTTTTTTAAATTTTATCTTTTCAATCAAATTACATTACAGGATGAAGTCAACAAAAAATGAGTATAAATTATTGATTCTATTTTGTTTCTTTTATTTTAAATTTCTTGTTGAACAATTTTCAGGGAATAAGAAAATTTTAAAAATCCTTTAAAATGATGAAACAGACATAAAAATTGATGTGTGTCCAAGTGATTGATTAAAACCCATATTTCATTCAATGAAAGTTGATGATTTTGATAAAAAAAGCTTTTTTTTTTCGTGCTTTTGGCATAAAATTTAACAAAAATCATGAAACGCTTCAGTTTTTTTTTATTCCATGAATTAAATATAATAATAAGTTAAAATAAAATACATTTAAACTGTTAATATTCAGTTAATTGTACGAGACGAAGGCAGGGGATTCAAATAAAATGTTATATGCAAAAGTAAATTCAACATAATCTCATGAGATCCTAAATGGATCCAGCTTAAAGATTTTTTGATCTTGTGAGATTAAAGATTCCAGCATATATTTATAATATTGTTTTGCTGGAGTACTGAAATATGTAGTGTCTTTGGTTTCAACAATTCAATTAGAAAAAATTTCTCAAAACAGATTTAAAATTTTTATCCGTCTGATGATTTAATGGTTTTGGTTCCACGTGATAAAGGTTTTTTCACCTATACGGGTTGATTTTGAATTAATTTCAGTAAAAAAAAAAAACTTAAAAATGTTTTAATCAAAAGTTGCTCTCGTCTTTGTCCTATGGTATCAATAAAAATAATTTTTCTTGGTGAAGAAAAGGAAAGAAAAAGAAGAGGTGAATAATTCTATGAATATTGCATCATCATCATCAACCACAAACTTTTAAAAACTTCGCAAACGTTGACAAAAAAACGAGTTTTTCTTGTTTTTTGACTTCTTTCGAACTGAAAAATCTAATTGCAAAAATTAACAACAAATCTTCTTAATCAGCAGATCAAGCTCTATCGAACTATGCATAAAAAGTAAATAGAAAGAATATCTTACTGAAACTTTGCTTTGGAGACATCTTATAACTTTTTTTTTCTTTGAGTTCGTATGTCATAGCCAATCAAACTACTTGAGATTCATATGTGCATCCGTATTGTATGAGAGACGTGACATAATAATAGCATTGCTCCTTCTTCTTATGTAAACAATAACTCTATAAGGGAAAGGCAAACAAATTGTTGATTGTGGAAAAAAAAACGGTAAATGTTAAACGATTAATGCCGATTTTTTCTTACATGATTGACTTTGGGATGATGACAAAAACTCAATAGTGTTATAATTTGAACAAATATTTACCGCGAGCAGATTATTTCACTTTACACTATTTAGTCTTTCAATACCATACGAAATAATTATTGAAGTTTGATCATTTTTGTTTCTTAATTTTATAAATTGTCTGTCTTTTATGTAAAGTGGTGAGAAAAAAACAACAAAATTTCCACTAGTGTCTAGTTCTTAAGTCCGAAGAATAATACAGAGATCGATTTGTGAGTACATGATATTTCTGACAATAGTGATCTTGTAGAAGGTGAATTACCTGTATGTTAACATGATCATATTTGCATCCTAACTGACGCTAAGCTCAAAGAAAAATATATCAGTGATTAAACGATCCACGATGTTTTCCAAGCAAGTACAAGTATCGCCGCTTTTAGCTTCAATCTTCAATGTAAGTTCATATATAAGGCGAGAGTTGTAATCGATGACGTTAAACGTTCAATCTGATCCGATCCGGTTGAGAATTTTTTACAGGTCAGTCTAGATTTATGTTGGGCTCTTGCATGTTTCGATCTCGCACATTACATTTGCGCTAGCACTGAAAACTAAAGAAGAACTGTTTCAAAATTTTTCGTAGTGCCTCATAATAAATGATAGAAAACGATATCTCTGCCTTATTTTGATTGGTTTTCTTTAATAAATACAAAACTTCTTAACAAGTATTGATAAGTTTGGTACGGTCTTATTTGAAATCATTATATAACATACTTTTAAATAGGGTGACATTTTAGTTTTAGTTTATTTTGAAAAAGTTGAGATACAGTGGTAGCCCTACTTGAAAGTGTCTCCAATTCAAATAGGACTACTACTGCCGAAAGAAGACAAAATGAACTACAAACTTTCATTTTGAAATAGAATTGTTATTTTAAATTGATTTTTATTAAAACTTTCGTGTTTTTTTTCTGTTATTTATGTAATTAGAACATAAGCTGAGAGCTACTAACTGTTGAGAGTTTCTGATAGATAGTGAAAAACAGTTTACAAGTGAGCTTGCAATGTTGACATAGGAAATCTCCGGTTCAAATCGACTTCGATTTCGAAATCGTTGGCTATCTTTTTTTGATCATCATCGATGTATTGAGTATGATTTGAGATCACGCATTGAACAGTAGAAAACGTAACGTAAGTATTTAGAGCAGTAACTTCGATGATGACTATAGATTTATCAGCTCGAAGTTTTGAATTCATTTTTCTAGAACATAAAAGCCATAAAAATGAGCAAAAATATACTAACTTCCGTGATCTAGAAGCTAATAAAAATCCAGCACAAAACTGGAGACAATCGGCCTATTTTCACATTTCAACTGAATCGATAACCGAAAAATCAGTTGATCCGGTACCAGTTTGTTGGTTCAGTTTCAAGTCGGGTTAGTAGTATTTGGAAAAATATTTAAGGGATATGATGTTATCCATATTTTCAAAGACAATCTATCCTAAATATGATTTTCTTTTGAAGTTTTGTACAAGTTTTACAAAAATTCGGTTGAAAACAATATGCGGAAAATCCGAATATCTGTAGGAAGATCTCCAATAAGACTACAAATTAGAATAGGGACAAAAACAAAAGACTCTATAAGATGCAGAAAATTCCACGTAAATCTAAGATTGTGTCTGAGCATTCCTCTATGTTGGTTGGTTGTGATTCACCTAGAATCGCTGTTATATAGAGTCTGTAGGTTATTATTCAGTGTTTTGTTTTTTGGTAGAATCCAAGAGAAAGAAGACTTATGGAAAAATACATAGTGAAAAATGCAACAGTGATTAAATAGGAATCTTATGGCATTATTGTAGTGATTAAGCAATAGATCTGACTAATCGAGTGTTGGGTTTAACTCTTATAGAGTAGCAAAACTGAGGAACGATTCATATCGATACACCGGTCAGTCCAATTTGGTCTGGTATTAGCTCACAAATAACACAGGATTATGCTTGACGGAAAGAGTATAAAGATGCTAAACAACGTAGAAGTGAAATTTCCGATGATATATTATCAAAAGGGAGCTCAAAGTAGCACGAAAATATGTGATGTGATGAAATCTATCGTTATGAGTCTATATCGAAACATTACGTTGAAAAAAGATAGCAGGTTGATTTTTGGTCATATGTGTTTCCTACTTTCTAAACTATAGTTTGAAATTTAAATGTGTAAATAGTCTTCGAAATTCTGGATTAGGAAGACTTTAGTAAAATTTTCACAATAGTTTGCTAAATAATTCTATGAATAAATCTTTTGGCAAATTCATGGCTAGCTGTTGACATAATACTTTTGATATTTATTTTGATCGCAATTCTAAGAATAGTTGTAACAGAGAACGTCAAAAACCTACTAAAGTTAATTCATAATGTTTTATTATCATTAAGTGCATCAAGAATAAATGATAGAAATGAAGAAAAATTGTTAGTGATTAGCTGAGAATAAATCCGATGCATTTACACAACTGTTTATCTGCTAGGAAACCTTCTAGTAAGTCAATAATTATTTACTACAACCAGACGATCAACACTGAATCAAAAAAAGTTCATGTTGTATTTTCATGTCAACACCGTATATAGTGGTATGCGAGGTGAACATAGAGGTGACGTATCATTATTTTTTTCTTTATATAACTACACGATGACTAATAGTTTCACATCAGGAAAAACTTGCCTGATGATCAATTTTAAACTTTCACACTGTGAATTCTAGTTTTTCTGTCTATTCAACGTAACTGATTTTTCTTGTCGATTATGAACACTGTTGAAAAGATTAGGGACAGATCTTCAGTAATTTTTTTTTTTAGTCTTTACTATTTTGTTGTTAAGACAGTCAAGTCTTGATGAAATATATTTTCATTCGCATATGCATCCTTGTGTTTATTTCATTGCCTGCATGAGATTATAGAATACAAAGAAAAGCACTTCACAGACAACTGGATATTGCAGAAAATATCTAGATTAATTATAGATAAAACAATGCCTGCATTGGTAATTAAAATGAAATTCAGAAGCCCTTCAAAAATTGAAGAATATTAGGAAATTTTAATTCTTTATTATTATTATTATATTCAATATAATTCTTTTACTTATTGGTTTTTTTTCTTCTAAAAATTAAAAGAATTTCCATTTGAGACTCTTGATAAGGGTTTCGGTTCGGCTCATCCAATGTTTCAATTCTCGTGAAATGATTATTGAATAAACATTATGCAAGACCGATGGTGCTGTTACCAATGAGATTTCTTTGAATGGATCTTGATCGATTTGATAAGAAAAAAACTGATTATTTGAATAAATACGCAACACAAGTTGATAATTACAGATGACATCATCTTTCAAGATTAAGAGAATCGCTCTCAATAAATCCGTAATCTTATATCGAAATAAATGATCAAGATTGAGAATATTTTTGATTGAATAATAATAGAAAATCATGGCATTATGATTTTCTTCAAGTAAATGGATTAACTCAGTCTAGAAAATAAATGAGTATATTCAGAGATACAATCAAAGTATAATTTATGTGATTTACTTGATTAATATTATTCTGATTAATGAATCGATTTGAATAATGATGCGTAGGTAGACGAGCAGTAATTTGTTTCTTTACTTCTTCAATGTGTCCTTTGAATACGTTACTTGATTTTTCGGTAGCCATCTATAATTTTGCGCAAAGAAAATATAAAAGCGAGTTTATCAATTTGAACAAATGTTACTTACAATTTGTTTTTCAATTTCAACAAGTGTATCAATGATAATATTGGCACCTGTTACTATTTCGTTTAGATTATTTTCGACACAAAGTGTTGCACCAACTGCATTACAAAAACCATAATGTGTTCGTTCATTCTGAGCTATTGAAAATTGAAACATAATTGTGATGAAAACCAGCATCGATAAAATCATTTTGAAATGGATGAACATTATTTTATTTTGATTTGATATTTGAAATCAAAGATCAGAAGAAAATCTTTTGTTATTTTGAAGATCAAATTGAGAGTACCAGCCTCTTGGAACTTCAGATGAAATACAATAGAAAGTGAAGAAATCAACAGGTATTTATATAGAAATGACTGTTCAATATCTCAATCAAAATAAAGATGACGTCAATCACGACTTATGCGTAACTATTTTTTGTCTGATTTTTTTTTATCAAAGTTGGGAATTTATAAACTACGTAATTAGTTAAAATCAGTCATAAATCATTAATTTGCCTTGCTTCCAATGTTTATTTTAGTCATGATATAGACAAGAAATAAAAATTATTTTCTATTTCAGAATGAAAATTTATTATATTGATGTTATTAAGTATATTTATATTGCCATTGAGTCCGTCAACACATGTAATTTTATCATTTTTTTCCAACTGAAATTTATCACTGTATTCAGACTGGCATGTGTCAGCAACCAATATCAGAATAATTATTAAAAAAAACGCCAGCTAGTAAAATAAAATAGACATCAAATTTATTCGTCACCCACACGCTTTCTTGATTGCTTGTGTGCCAGTCGACTCCTACTCAAATTGAGACGATCAACTCTTATGAATGTATACTATAATCAAAATTACAATTCGACTAGAGAAAAAATTCATATGATCACGTGTTTTACTAAATGTAGAGCAGCAATAAAAAAAACAAAAGAGAAAATTGTTATCTTAGCAGCTGTGTCGATAAGTGATGTATCACAATCTAATTAAAAAAAAAGTCTCAATCAGATTCATTTGCAGCTCAAATACGCTACAAAACTATGTTCATATAAAAAAATTGGAATTTTTTTTGCTCCCATATATATCATTCAAAGCGAGATGGTTGTAAAAATGTTGGCGAATAGATTAAAATCTTTTGTCCTATAAATTGTTTAATGAAATGGAAAAAATATTTTTGCATTAAAAAATAAATAATTATTTTATTCAGATTTTAATTATATGAATTTATCTCTAGTCGAATTTTAATTTTGTCTACAACATATTTTTTACAGTGATACTGTCTCTAGAGGAATTTAAGTGTTTTTCTATAATTTACGATTACAATAAAGCATTGACTTTTTTTTTAATAAAATCAAATGAATAATAACTCATACTGTCATTATCAGAACGTTTCACGTCGCTATCTAATCTTGCCAATGGAGAAAATACATATTGTAACTCATATATAAAAATGTCAGACATATGATTTGCTGTTCATTATGGAAATCAGTTGCAGACAGGTAAAAAGCAAGCGTCCAGCAATAAAAACCTAACTTTGACTATCTATCGATTATCAAGGAAAATTACATCGCATATTGTTCAAAACTCCAGCAAAAAGAATCATGACATTTATGTATGATTAGATAAAATTCGATGAATTCTTTGAAATCTAATATTTGAAAAACAAAATGTTAATGTGATTGCATCAGGCACTTTTATTGTTTAAATAATTTGAGTTTCGGTCTTCACAGTATGAAAAATGAATATAACTCAAGTCACACAGTTTGGCGTCATAGAGGATGAGCCAAACTGTTCAAAATAATTTCATTCTATTATATCGACTTTGAGATAGCCTGCTACGATAACTTTGTGGACGAAATGTCGTATTGTAGATTGCTTCGCTGAACTGTAACTCAATTTTGTACTGCAACCAATAACATTGATTATTTCCGAATCGCAGCGAGAATGTCCGTCCTGAAAAAAATGCTTTTTCATATTTTCCATACATAACACTGGCACAACGGTACAGAACTATAATCGGAAATTTTCTTAATATGTTCATAAGAAAACGAAAAAAAGATAGATTATACGATGGATATGTCTGAAAGTAAAAATTTTTCTTCGATTAGCAAACTTTCAGCTAAATTGAATGGAGAGATGTTTGAGGTTTTGATCTTTCATATGTTCTGTGAAAGACCAACAAATCAGAAAAATGTTAAATATCAAAATATGGACGATAAGAGCTGTAACCAGAAGCATCGAATTCAGAAAACGTATGTCATCATAGCTATCAATCGAACATCAGATCCCTGTAGATCTATCAACACTATTGTCTCGAAGCAGTTTTGCTCCATATAATGTATCCATAGGTGAAGACAATAAACTCTATGTTACCGACAAACAAAATGGTCGAACACTGTGGCAAAGAGATGCTCTTCATGTGCTCGTTGATGTTTATGGCTTTCTTTATGTTGCTTCTAATAATGAATTGATTCAAAAATGGTTGTGTAATGCTAATGAAGGCGATCAAATAAATTGTACGTAGGGCAATCCAAAAGTAATGACTGTTGTACTTTAATTCCTTATAAATAACTTAAAGAAACTTTCTCTTCATATAGTTTGATAGAGAAAAGAATACTCAATTTTTCTATGCTATTTGATCATACTTCAACTAATATCATAATATTAAAATTTCGATAAGATCTGTTTTGTTCGTATGCATCATAGTTCCATGATTGTTAGTGAGTATTTTTTAAATAAGTTTTCATAGAAAATCATATAAGAGGCTCGACTAGAATGCATATTATTCATCTCAACCTTATGCACTTTGTAGACCTTCGATTAATTGTTTGAATTTATACTTGATAATTCACTGTAAACAACTTACCAGAGAGGTTTGTACTTAAAAAGGTCGATTGAAAACCTTACAAAAAGCATATTAGGAAACTCTGAAATGTATGATCCGATGTATCTTTATCTCCTGTTTCCAATGGTGAAAACCACAGTTCTCTATCTTATTCTTATCAAAAGTTATTTGTAAAATACTGATTCGTACTGTTTAAAATGAGTATTATTGTAAGTACGTAGTACATATGATAACGAAACAGATCTTATCGAAATTTTATTAGTATAATATTTGTTGAAGTATGATCGAATAGAAAGCAACTATAAACATTGAGTTTTGTAATTTTAATCAAATATTAAATATCACATCGTTTGAAAAAAAGAAGTCACCCTTCTACTCTATGCTTGAAAGTAAATGACATACAAAATTAGTACTATTTCTAATATATTCATTCAACAACTCGAGATTGAAATTTAGCACTTCTTGACCTAAATTACTTTTTTTTATGAGATAAGATACCATGATATAGTTATGAAAAATTAAGCCTAATCTGTAATCTTCGAAAAGAATATATTATTCACATGCGTCAGAAAGATGTCATCATCTTTGAAAACAGTATTAATATTGTATATCTTGAAAATATCATATCACTAATGAACGTGAATGTATATAAGTAGCTATTAAACAACTTGAAAATCATTGTTAAAAATCTTGAAAATTTTCGTAAGCATTATGACTGATTCTCTCATACTAGTTGCTATTCAACTGTTATGTATTATTGTTCCCTTTATCATTGTCATCGGAATCATAGGCAATTCGATCAATATTGCCGTATTCACACGCCCGACATTTTATAATCATTCGTGTTCTCGTTATTTTCTTGCTCTGGCTGTTAACAATCTTTTCTTATCAAGTGTTTTTCTTCTTAATCATTTAATGATCACCGGTTACCAATTGGATCTGACCAAAGTATCAGTTCTATCATGTAAACTTATTCAATATGTTACTAGTGTATGTGTAGTTATGTCACCTTATTTTATTGTACTTGCATCCATCGATCGATATTGTGCGAGTTCAAGAAATGTTCAACGACGAAAATTCAGCAAAATACGCGTAACTCGATGGGCATTAATGTTTGTCGTTGTATTAGTAGCAGTTTATTATATTAACTATCTGGTATTAATTGATCTTCGAGAAGATGATTCTCTTGGATGTGCCATACGAGGTGATACAATTTACAAACAAGTATATTCAATCACACAAGTTTTTGTTTTTGCCATTATTCCACCATGTCTTATGGGATTTTTCGGTGGTATGACTATTTATAATATGAAGCATACACGTTTTCTTCCTAGAGCAGCTGTTCGTTATCGTCGAACTGAAAATCAACTTGGTCGAATGCTTCTTGTTCAAGTTGGTACTTATATTGTACTTACCCTTCCCTTATCCATTTCATATTTAATATTAGTTTTGCCAAATTCATTTAAAGTCACGGCAAAATTTCAATTTATTTATTTAATATGTCAACTTTTCTTTTATTTGTCTTGTGTTACAACTTTTATCTTATATTTTTTTTCGGCTCATACATATCGAAATGAATGTATTCGATTGATATGTCGAATGGGTCAAATTTATCGTGAAACTCATATTCATCTGCCAAGAAGTCAAAATAGTATTCAACCAATGACTGCTACCTCGAATAATATACTGGCTATAGCAGCTAATTCTACAAGACATAATGCGTCAATTCAAAAACATTAATCAACTAAACAAATGAAAAGTTAATATTTTTCTTTTCTTATTATGTAAAAACTTTTGCGTCGTAATAGAATTTCATTGTCTCTCTTAAGACTACTTTGAAAATTCGAGATAATCATTAACGAACAGAAACATGTTCGATGAATAAAGTAAAAATATTAAAATTAGTAGAAGGCACACTTGAAAGACAAGAAAATTATACCAGAATAACTTCAATTTCTTATGAACTCTGATCAAATTCTGTAGTATCTTGTGTGTACAAATAAGAATTGACTATGTAAATAAAGATTCTTTGACTTGATGAAGATATTTGTGATATATTCTAATGTGAAACATTCGCTTAAGTTTTTACTCATTGATAGACAATATATATATTTACATTTTATATCAAGACAACATTTATCGGATTATGTTCAATTATCAAAATACTTGGAATTTTGAATTATTAAATGAAATAAGCTATTTATATAACTTTGATTTATGTTTTTAACATCATCATATTCTTTTTTTTTTCAATCAAATAATTGGTTAAAAACTGATAAGTCTCACTTGATCATTTCAATTTTCTCTTGGCGATGCCTCTAATTATTTTTTGTTGTTCTGTAAATTTATATTTATTTTGATCTTGTTATTGAAAACTGATTACAGTTAAATGTTCTTTTCGATCGATCCTTATTAACTATACTTATTATATTGGCTATTATTACAGTTATATACGAGTTGATTATTTTTTTTATTAAATACAATTGATCAAGATTATCTATTTTTGACAATAGTTTTTCTAAATATTCTTGAATATTAAACATAGATGCTTCGTCGGGAAAATGGCAAAATTTTGAAAAGTACGATATTGGCAATCGAAAAAAAGACCTAAATAATATTAAATTATTTTCAAAATTAAATTTATTATTGCTTACGTTAAACTCTAAAACGTACGAGTAAAAATGTTGTTAGTGCAATCCTTGAAGGATTAAAATGTGAAACATGATAGATTTGTTTACATTGTAAAAGAAGAAGTTTACTAACATAGGTTTTACTTCTTGAATTCTTATCTGATGTTAGTTCAAACCAATAATAATATATAATCATGATTATATATAACAGTCAGTGTGAAAGAAGGACAAAAAAACAGTCATCTGTTATTCAATTATGTTTTATGCTAATTCCGCTGTAAACTTGAGCATTACTAGGATGTCTGTCATACTCTATAAGAAGAAAGGAACAGTTCTAAAGTAGTGTGTCTCCATCTGTGACAGAGAAGTGGCATTGCTAACGTATTTGTCAATGTTTGTAATGATTTGTACGAGGGTGGAAACAAATCGTACCATCATACTTCAAAACTTCTTTTATATAATGTTTCACAAAAAAACACAGATTAATAAGAGAAAAGAAAATGATAGTCTTATGAGAATTTTCATTCTCTAAATTTCTCTCTATAATGATCATTGGCCGAATTTTGTTTCATTCATAGATAAAGCCATTATAGATGAATATTAGTTTTTCGTTCTATGGTCGAAAAATTGAGAACAACTTTGGTTGATATAATAGAAAAAAGACGATAATAATACTAGATTGTTTCAATGAAATGATGATAGAAACATAAATGATTACTACAAAGGTAAAGAAATCGATTCGGGTGTTAGTACTTTTAGCTGTTTATTGAAACGTAAGGTTCCAATCTCTTTGAGATAGAAGTTTTTTTCCGATAATAATCAATTAAGCAATCGATACACTATTTATTTGTTGTTTGAATGGCAATTGTTTTTTTTACAGATTCATGTTTACACTGGTCATGAAATGTCGAATATCATTCGCTTAAAAATTCAATTCCAATAGATTATTCATTAATTGATTATTAATTTGATCTTTTTTATTGTTGTTGAATTTTTTTTCCCGATCGTAAAATGATTCGATGTTTTGGTAACGTTATTTTTCGAAAATCTGAATACACCTATATTTCACTTAATGATATATGATAGTTTGTTTTGAAAATACAGTAAAATACCTAAGCAAATCGTGAAGGAAAAAGCCTTGAAAACATACATCTAATTAGACGATAAAAATCTATTACATATTTATTTAACTCTGTTGTAAAGAAAAAAAGAATAGAATAAAATGTCTATCAAATAATAAATAATACAAATGATTGTGAAAACGGATTGATTTTTTTGTCAATTATCTCTTGTTCATTGTGAAGTAAGATTTCTACTTTTTTTGTTGCCATTTATTTTCTCTGAATGTTGTCCACCTTTAAAATAGTTTTTATAGTCTGTTTACTAATCATTCATGTTGATAAAGACGTTTCGCTTCACTACCTTTTTTATTCTGTATATTTTGTTTTGCCCATTCTTTCGTAAGACAACACATTTTGTCACATGCTCTTGCTTATTTTCATAGATAGACGCATGTTTATATGAAGTATCTCTTTCTCATCTGTAGGTGTCTTGTTTTTTTCGTTTCTTTTTTCCTTACCCTTTTTTAATCGTGGTGTAAGAGATAAACCTTCCTGTCCTGATATTTTCCCTATTCATATTGATAAAACATAGGTTGATTTTTTTATATTGCTTGCATATTTGCGACGGTAAGTATAATATTGACTGTTATTGCTATGAACAGAATCATCCAATATGATTGAGTGATCTGCTTGAAGATTCGTTTTTTTTTCAATGTAGTGAGAATATCGTTAATAGAAGAAAATTTTTGAGCCATATTTTCGAATTTTTTAGACAAAAACAAATAATTTCTGCAATGACTAGAAGTTGACCTTTTCTTTCGAAATGACTTTTTGGATTTTTCGATTAATTTCAATGACATAAAACATTGTAATCGATTAGTATGATTACTTTCTGTTGTTTTTTTTTAAATTTGATATAGATTTTCAATCTTTTCTTTTTTATAATGATAAATCAAAAGATTTAAAAACCAATTATATTCGATTGTCTTTGATTTTGTATATGATGATTCATTGTGAAAAATGCCTCGCTTAGTCTTGAAAGCATCTGAAAAGAAAAATATTTCGGCTAAATGTACCTTTAATAGGTTATACTTTCAAGCGTTAAGTAATTTTTCATGTGTCATCCATCAATACATATATGTATATACTCATATATTATCTATTTTTCTAAATCTACATATTGTATGTAATGCTTTTGTGTTCTTGAAAGATTTCACCCATTGATCTTATCTTATCGATTCAAAGGAAAATTGCAGAACTTTTTAAGAAATATAGAATAGACTGACAGAGATGTATGTGACATTCCCATCACTGCTCATTAGTAATTAAGTAATTAGTTGATGGTATTTTTCTGACATTTTGTTATTGGTATTTCTCATTTTAGATTATTAACAGTACGCAAATTATTATGGCCGAAAAAGTTTATTTAGTCAATCCCGAAACAGGTAGTCGTCATCGTCTTAACGACTGTAAACCTAGTCTACGACAATCGACTGCACTGAAATTTTCATCTGCACGAAAGTATACAGACAAAGCTTTACCTTCATCAGTTGATTTAACTGAAGCAATGACAGCGGTAGAACTCCAAGAGGATACCTCAGCATGGTTAGTATCTTATAAAATTTCACTTTTGATTAAGTAAAATAAATTTAAGAATAACTTTTTCTAAATAATATTATTCAAATCCTACAGTCATATTCTATTGTATCCTATAGTACTATTTGATTCTAATGTATCTATGAAACTTGTTTAAATAAAAAGAAATATCTTTTTATTCTAGTGTTGGTAACGCATTGGCTGGTAAGCTTTTGCTATGGATGTTTATCATTATATCACATGTTTCATTTTAGCTGCCTATGAATTTTTAATAAAGAAAAAAACTGGAAAAGATATTGATGTGAGTCGTCTGTTTATTTATTACAATGGTCGTATGAAGGATGAACCCGATATTAAATTTGTGGAGGATTCCGGTTGTTCTATTACAGGCGCTATTATGGGATTGAAGGAATATGGTTGTTGTAAAGAAGAAAACTTTCGATATGATATCAACAGAATCAATGAACGCCCACCGTGTCAGTGTTATTCAGAGGCTGCGAACTATCGTATAACGAATGGCATGCAATTAAATGCTAATTTGTATGAAATGAAAGCGTGTTTAGCACAAGGCTATCCATTTGCATTTGGTCTTGCGACGTTCCCATCATTTGCCGAGGCTGAAACAAATGGTGGGATCGTGCTGATGCCAAAACCTGAGGAAACCAAGAACAGCAATGGTGATCTACATGCGATGCTAGCAGTTGGATACGTTGATCGATCAGAACAGTTCATTGTTAAAAATTCATGGGGCTCAAAATGGGTGAGTTTTTGCTCGATTATTTATTTTATAGTTACTTCTATGACACTTGCTCTCCAATAATACTTATTTTCCATGAGCAACGAACAGAATTCCTTTTGAGGGTATAGGTGTCAGTGTGAGTGTTTTTTTTTGGTTACATAGATACTTGCTCTCACATTTTGATTCTGTTTTTGATTGTATAATATTTCTTCTATTTGTAAAATAAACAAGATATTTATAATTCTATTACTGATTTATACATCTTAATTAAATAAATTGATGTCTTGTCCTTTCGATTAGTAAGAGCTATATTCGTTGCTTATGAAGAGTAGTTATCTGGAATTACAACAGTTGTGGATTGAGCAAATCATTTATCTTGTAGAGCATTAGGTCCAAACTCGAGTGGGATGGTGTTGATCTTCCGAAATGAGGATCATGCTCCTGTTTCACTCAAACATCATCGTTGTGCTGTTCACATGAAATTCTGTGTTTTGACGAAAGTGAAGTTATTAGCTAACTAAAACGAGATGAAAGATAAATTTTAATGAGGTATGTAAAAGTGCGATGTTTATTTTTCTACGGATATATTCGACATAACATAATGCAGAAGTCTCTTTGATTCAGAATTATTAGGTTTTTTTCTTTACAATCATTTGATTTAATTTATTTTCCATAAGATGCACTACGAAAAAGAAGCATAATACAAGTTTCAATATTTCTATGTGCTGCATAGTTCAAATACTATTCTATGTCTCTGTCAAAAAGTAAACCTTCTTTCGAAATCTATTTTCATTCATAACTAGAACAAGTTCATTTCATATAATGAACTGTAAAGAGCGTCTGAGAACAAAGTAAACTAGCCTTAATTACGAATTAAAAGAGAATTTTTTTATAATAATTACTATTTGCGGAAACATCAACATAATATTAGAAAGTCAAAATTTTCAAGCAAAGTAAAGTTGTTCAGACAAGTAACACATATCATCTAGTGGAGAGTTTGATAGAGTACATTTTCAATAATAAATCAATCTGATTGGTTGAAAAGGTTCCCCATTATGATACACGCGACATATAACACTGAAAAGTATCATGACTTATTGATTGTCGAAGACAAAATGACTTTTCAGGCTCTACCTACATGAAATGATAAAAAATCTTTGCTAAACTACTCTTCGTTTCATATTAGAAACCGTATTAATAACTTATTATATTCTAGATTATTTTCTTTTGTACATGATTAATAACTTGATTTATTTTTAGGGTGATAAAGGATACTGTTACATTCCTTATGCTTATATGAGCGATCCAAAATATTGTTCAGATTTACACACAATAAAAACAATATCGGAAGGTGCTCGTCGTCGCAGAGAACAAAGAATACAAAATGCAAACATCTCAAATAATCAAAAAGACACCCACATTTATGGAAAAGATCATCCTAAACATCTCGAAAACTCTGCTCATAATGGTACGATAGATGATGATGATGATGATGATGATGATGATGAAGACGACTATTACAAAGATAAAAAGTTTTGGAAAACAGATCGATCAGATTATATTGCTGCTAAGATTTTACCAAATCCTGGACCCCCCCATCTTGTACCAGGGTCGTCACCACGACCTCGACCTTTCATTGAAAGACAATCACAAGCTAATAACTCCTCATCCAAATCTTATATACTTTGGATTGATAAAAAAAGTGGAGATAATTCTGGTATTGCAAATCAATTAATAGCCGATGGAAATGTTCACATAGATTTTCGTGAGTCATTTGCAAAGGCACAAGATCATATACGAGAAGTTCTAAATAAAATAAAATCACCTTCGTCAACATTTCAAATCGTCTGTCGTGGTTTTTATAGACATGAAAATAAAAATCCATTTGATTTATTATTACTATTGAATAAAAACAATTTAAGACATATACCAGTTATTGTTTTTACTAATGATAAACAAGGTTTAATAAGTCATTTGGAACACCAGGCACCATCGGTTGGCCTTATTGATTGGAAAGATCGTTTATACATAACAAGTGATGCAAAAAAATTAGTTACAAAATGCAAGACAAATATTCAAAAAAAAACATCATAAACAGTCTCATTAAGAAGTGAAGTTGCATATTATTCTGAAAACAGAGACACTTTTTAAAAAATAAACAATAAAAATTGCTTCATCTAACTAGTCTCTTTAGTTTTCATTTTATGTGAATAACTATACAGAATAAAAACTAACAGAATCTATGAATTCGGCGTTAATTTAAATAACTCATTATGAAACTAGCTAGAAAGAAAGTGGATCTATTATCTTTTGTTCACTGATATCTTTCTTTCTCTCAACAAAGTCAATTAGCTTTTGTTTATCTTAAGCAACAATGAAGTTATGTCAGAGAAACTCGACGCGACAATGAATGTAACATGAGTAAGTTTCGGCTAGCTCCTTTTCAAGCAGTCTATATGATTCTCTTCTATTAAACAGACAACCATCTAAATAAAAACAAACTGCAATGACATTGTTACTTCTATCTAATAATCACTTACTTGTAATTGTCGATTATGATATTAATGATCAATCGATGAATGAAGTCATTGAGATCGATTCGAATATTTATACATGAAATTCTCTACGTTATTAATAATGCGTTAATCCAAACAATATAAGGTATTATAAAAGAAGGAATTTTTTCCATTGGTGAAACGGTATGACGAAAGAAAGGAAACAAGTAATCTTGTCGGGAAAGAGAATTACTATTCTGCTGAAAATAATTCAATATATCGAGTGAAGCAAAAGAAATCAATCAATGCTGTATTTCTAAATAACGCCGTTTGATTCAATCTGTAAAGAGGAGAAATAAAAAACATAATTATTATTGTGAAGAATTCGAATTCATGAGATTTTACTTCATTCAATCCCAGAGACTAAAACAAATCGAAAAAACACACCTTTCAAATGATAAAACGGACGTTGATTTCAATATATTTCAATTTCATTGATTAAAATGAACATTATCATCAAAGTGAACGACATGAAAACCTTTATGAAACTAGTCATCAATAAAATTAAATATATTCCCTTTTTTATGTCATTCTAATATGTCTTAAAATTTATATTTGATATTTTCCAGATGTTCTTTTTTGTTTTATCGCCTGTATGTGTTTCTATTCTTTGAATAAACAAATACTTTCTACGTCTAATTACGCGCCGAAGGTTTTCGTAAAGAAAATACTTTTCCGTGGAAGAGTAAAACCGACACCATTCAAAACTTAAAATGCTATATAGACTTTCGTATAGTTTTCCAGTATCATCTAGGAAGTCTTAACAAAAATCAACAGCACTTTATTATTGGAATGAATAAATCAATTCTAATTGAAAATTTCTAAAAAATATCATATCTTTTTCTTGCAAAATATTAAACCTAGTTGAATATTTATAATCGGAATGGAAACTTATTTTAGGAGTGATCCTTCCACTGGAAACAATCACTGTTGTATGAGGTTGACATTTGCTAAAACAATTCATTTTTCTCACAACTTCGAGCATGACTTTTCTGGATGAAATTATGTTGGTCAAAAAAATAAAAATTGCAGAAATGTTAGAATTAGATCAACTGATAAATTCTCACTTTTAGAACAGGTTCTGAAAACGTCGTAATTGTACCTGAAGTGAATATGGGTACAAGTTTAGAAAAAAAACGAAAATACGTCTCAAACACAGTTTCGTCATTCGGTTCAGAAACAAGCTGTCGGTAAAGGGCCGTTAGACGATTTTAGAACACTAATAATGTTTCAAAAACATAATATTGATGAAAATCGCGTCCTCTATATAAAAAAAAATGAGCACAATGAATACTATCTATAGGGAAATTTTCATACTTCTCCCATTTTATATAGAGGAGCAAGAAAAGGTCAAGCTTATCAGAAAGACTGTACCTAGCCCATATCCATTTGGGTGCGTTCGAAAATTTTTTCAAATTTTTTTTAAACTAAAACTACACCTACAGACATAACTCTTACAAGCTCTGAAATATCAAGTTGCAACTAATCGGCCAACAATTTCACCTTCGTCTTTAAACGTTATCCATCAGCGAATTTACAAAATCTTTCATAATCTATTCTTCACTTCTGCAGAGTGTAGGATGGAGGAAGAAAAAGTTAAATACCCACACCCACACGAAACATGAGTCGCTGAGTGTGACAAATTCACATCAATATTAGTTGCAAGGATCAAATACATTGTACTAGGTCATAAACAGAATGTATTCTTTTGTTTCATATATGTATTTTAGGAAAATTAGGTGATTTCAGTACAATTTCTATGGCAATATCGACATTTATGCTTTCATTATGTTGGACAATCTAAGAAGATCTTGCCAATTTCTCCATTGTAGATTTCTACATATAACGTAGAATCATATTGATTATGTAGAAAATAAAAACAATAAACCTGAGATATATCTTTTCCTTTGATAAATTCGAAAAAGATTGATAATGTGATGGAAAATATTCGTCTGTAAGAATACTAACCAGACTTCTAAAAATGCCATCACTAGCTATATAGACAGGAAAATTAATTATAGGTAATTTTTCTCCGCAATAAAATTCGATCTCTTTTTTTGTACACGGCAAACGAACTTTCTATTGAAGTAGACGCAAAAATTAGTTGTGGCCAAAGACGATGAAGTAAATCGAGAGTATTTTTTTCTTTGAGACATTCTCTTCGTAGTTGATAACTCATTCTAGTCGGTAGGATAATCCACCATATTCCAAAGCCATATTTTCTAAAGTTTGATTGAAAATAGTTCGAAATATGTAATTTTTCTGAGATATGAATTTTTCAAAATTTAGTCGTTTGTCCATGTAACTTTTGCAAAATTTGAAAAATGCATATCTCAAAAATACTAGATCCAAAAGTTCTAAAATTTTGCACAGAAGCTAGTCTGAGTGAGATTTCACTTTGGGCAAAGTTTCAGGTCAAAATTCGAAACTATAATTGTCTTTTGAAAATGGGGGTCATCATGGACATAACCCACTAAAAATTTCATATCTCAGCCAAAACTGCATAAAAGCATGAACCTTTTG